TTGGGTTGATGGAAAAACATAAGGAAATGTTTTGACAAGGAGATAGGAATGTACAAGATGAGCAAAACTTAGAAGACACAGTTATAGAAGAAGACACAGTTAAAGAAGTAGACCAAGAGAAAGAAGAAATAAAGATAGGGGATCTAATGCAAGTGCTCATTGGAATATAAAGGGAACTGAATGAGAATAATAAAAACATAAGACAAAAAAGGGAAATGAATAATATTATGAGACAAATGAAAGGGGAAATGAATCAGAAGGTCAGAATTGTTCCAATCAAACTTGCATAGCAATCCATGCTCGTTTGAATTTGTTTATTGTAAGCATAAGCTAATCTATCTATGGTCCAAAAATTTTATTTTATCAAATGTGGTATTTAAAATTTATATTTAAAAATAACGATAAGCCAATAGAATTGTCCATATTTTTTCTAAGACTACAAACGGATACATCCATCATTATTAATAGGCTGGAAGACATAGATTTGATGAAAGGAAAGCTATATAAATAAATTAAATATAGGTATTTATAAACAAAAATAAATATTAATTAAAAATATTGGTATTAAATAAAAAAAATTTCTGTCACATTGTGTTATTTAGTCTACCAATACCAAAATGTATTATATATATTTTATTTGATGCTTGCTGTTATCGTGAGACAAAACATAATGACGTGAAAGTGCTTTGTACCAAATTGTTTTAATTCAAAGAATACTCTGAAAAAAATATTTATATTTGTGTCGAGAGTTGAATGCGAGAAAATTGTGTTTTGGGGCAGTAAAAGTATTGTCAAAATATTAAAAATTACTGCTGCAAAGATCATAATCATAAAATAATCTTAGAAATACAACGTTCAATACCTACGTTCATTCAAATTTCTGGAATAAATAAGAAAGTATCTAAAAAACATATCAAATTTCTGGAATAAACAAAAAAGTATCTAAAAAGCAGATATTTCATTGGAATCGAGAATGTCTATTACTTGCTGAGGAGTCCTAATAAGGAGGAAAGTGCTCTAAGAATAAAATTCTTATTAGTGAGCAAAATTATAGGTAGTAGAATCTCACCCTTCTATATTTAATGATAGAGAATGTGGTAAAAATGGCACCATATTGAATGATCAGGAACTGACGAAGATACTTGGGATATGGGCCTAAGATGAATTATGAAAGAAGTACAATTTGAAGAAAAACTTTAGAACCATAGAGCTGAGCTGCAAGAAATAATGGAACCAAGAATGTATCTTGCGTAAAACCAAAAGACATGCTATTCAGTAGTATATGGATGGTTCCAAAACCATAGAAGAAATTGGAATAGGAGTATATGGGCCTAGAACTAGGCACTCTGAAAGTTTGGGAAAATACCCAGGCATCTTCCAGGCCGAAATTCACGCCATCGAGAAGTGTATTCAGTTTAACATCGAGAGACACTATCTTAGACAAGAGATTAACATGTCCGAGAGCCAAGCAGTTCTGAGCTCTTACGTAATCAACTCAAAAATGGTCTGGAGATGCCTAGAAAAATTGAATGAGCTAGACGAAGAAAATACTCTTGGGTCCCGGGACATAATGGGGTACAGGGTAACGAGATTTCAGATAGTATCACATGGACACCCTTTTTGAGACGTAAGCAGTTCTGCGGTATCAGCAGTAACACAATATTAGAAGAGATATAACCAATAATTGGAACAATCTCTTGGAGCTAAGACAGCCTGATACTTCTTGGTAAATATAATCAGAAAAGATGTTTGAGCAAGAACAGGCTACGTATTGTAACACGGATCCTTACTGGGCATTACCGACTCAAAGGACGCCTTAGTAAACTAAAAGTAAGTAGTAGAAGACAGTGACTGAATGTGTAGCACTCTAGAATCCAAAGGCACTATACCTAGGAGCATATCAAATAGAATGGGGAGATTTACCTAACTTGAAGCCACTCCAAATCCTACACTTCCTTGAGAAGGGTCCTTGTTGCATTAGCGACAGAAAGGGGTATAATAGATCTTTTAGGTCGCAGTATATTAACACCCAATTTCCACATAACATAACGTAGGTAGAGTGTTAAAAATTATTTTTTCTACTACCATACATAAAATACATACTATACGTAAAGTAAAACTCTTTACGCATTAGTGAAAAAAAGTAAAATTTGACAAAAATTGTACATAGCAACAATAGGTACTTTACGCATTAGTGAAAAAAAGTAACTTTTATATTTCTTATATTAGTGGATAATGTAAACGGTAGTAGAATAAATATTGTATGCAACTGTGTGTAAAGTCTCTTTTTTGACTTATACGGCCGTGCGACAACATTCATATTAGTCAAAAAAGAGTAACTTTACACACTTGTTGCATAAATAACTATTTGATCTCTGCTGTTTTCCTTTCAATTTGATACAATGCCTGTTGCGGTATTATCCAATGGAGTAGTTGTTTTTCTGAGGAAAATGGTCACTCGTATTATGTGACAGTTTGAGTTTTGAGTTTTATTTCTATTTTATTTTAGATATTTTATCGTTAAAAAAGAAAAATACTTCTGGGATACCTCAGGAATCTAATTTAGGACCTCTTTTATTTTTAGTATTCATAAATGACCTGCCTTTGGTGTTAAGATTGTGAGAATCATTACTTTAAGCAAGTGAACTAAAATATTTCAAGAATATGCAAATGATGTTAAAAACAAATCAAGTCGCAAAATATCGTCCCAAAATACAGGTATTTTTTGGGAAAATTGGTGAAAAGGGAATAGAAAAGTATATTGGAGTTTTGGAGTTATTACTCAAAACACTTTTGGCGTATCGTGCTTGTTCAATAAATACTTAAAATGGCTTAGTTTTCTTAGTCCAACATGGTTTATTTTGAACAAATATATTTTTAATAAATTTGTTAAGTTTTAGATAGAAAAAAGTCAACTTAAACTTATCTAAACTATAAAAATATGAAAACTAACTTAACTTTTTTTAAACAATTTTATCAAGTAAGAAGTTTTATCCAAGCACCATTTTTTATTAATTTTCTTCTAACCGGAAATCCATTAGGCCCAAAACCTAAATCATCCTCATTTTATTCTTGTTTCCAACGAGTTTTCTATTGCAAATTTGTTTCTGGTTAATTCTTCAACGTTGGTACTATAAACTTATTACTAATAATTTGTTTAAAATCATTCAAAGTGTACACTGATTTGCTTCTTCACCTCAAAGTCAAATGGCACCATCAATCATCTGTAAGTCGCCTTGAAGCGCCACGGTAAATAACCGTACCCTACCCGGACAAGCTCAGTCAACTTTTGGGGTTAAAATTCACTCGCCAGGGGGTGAATTATATGGAGAATATTATTATAAGTGTTCAAAATGACAAACCTCTATGTACTTAAAACTGACAGACTTTAAAGTATGATCTACTAAAAAGGTTTGGAATGTTAACACAATAAAATTCTCACATTCAGATTATACCCATCACAACTGTCAAACTGCAAAACTATATTTTCCACTTTCTTTTTTAAGCACAATTTTATGTATTTTGCAATGCCAGATCCCACTTCCTCTGCTTCCTCTTTCCAAATAAAACCAATAAGGAATATTGGTTAAGTGACTGCCATCACTATAAATATATAATTTTGGGTTGTAATCCACTAGAGCTCTGATTCAGCTTTCTTTATATCAAGAATAGAGTTTGTTTTAGCTTCCTTTGGATCAATTTGCTTTGGATTTCTAGCTGCCTCTGCATATATACCAGTTAATTTTTGGTTTGATTTTAACGTTTTACTTTTGTTTTCATCTTGTATACTTTCCATTGCAAACAGGAATATATTTCACTCGTTTCTTAATATTTTTATATATTTTTATATATTTTTAACACAGTGACCAAGGAAACCAAGTGACACTGACATAAATTTTACAGGTTTTGTTGCATTGGTTCCATTAATCAAATTGAAAATATCCTTGTAAAATAGAGGTGCTTGGGACTTTGTCTAAAAGATGTTCCTAACTCTATCTCACTCAATTTTCAAATTTGGGGTTTGGTTCCTTTTTCACTTAACATCTTTCAATTAGAGATTAATAATTTTATGAATGGAGTTTTGATAAGTTGTTTTTTAATATAAAAATATATTTTAATAAAAAAAAGTATAAAAGAATATCCTAATTTTGAATATCATATGTATGAAGAGGTGTTAAAATAGAGAAATGAAGTCAAATTTTTAGGCGGAGTGGTGGAATCCCACTAAATGGCCACTCCCAAAATAATGGAGCATCTCCAGACACCTCCCGGCAGCTTTATTAAACTGCAGAACATTGACCTTGAATACTGTGCTATATCTAGACACTCCCAGCGACAACCAGCAAGTTTTTGATGAGTTAATAACTTACAGATGAAAAAATGACTGTCTGTGGATACTCCTCAGCGTCAACCGACAGATTTTTGATGAGTTGACAACCTGCAGGGCTTTGATGAGTTGGGAAGATGGTTATTTTTGGACATTTCTTCGGCGACAACCAACAAGTGTTTGACAAGTTTAAAGGCATGTTCTATATGCTCCTGGAGGATGCACAATGCGGCTTATGAGACATAAATGTTGTGGAGCAACCCTTTCTCCTCACCTAACAGATACAGACAGCAGATCAGAGGGAATAGGTCAGGTTGAATTAATTAATAAATAGAACACTTTAGAACTACTTTAAAATCCATTTACTTTCTTTTTAACTGAGAAAAGAGGATAAAATCAATTTTCTGCATCCAATACTTGAACGGACAAGATTAAATCCTATGAAATAACCTTGCAACGTTGCCACATATCAAAGTTTGAATGCCTGACTTTCATTCATAAATTTACCAACCTGATTAATATTTTTAGAACATAAAAATTTAATAGGTAGTCTCTTTCATTCAATATTTTATAAATTTTTCATTACTTACATTTTCTGTCCATAGAGCTAAAAATAAAACCCCTGTTATTCAAATATTCCCTCCGCCCATGGCCACGTCCTTGGCTGAAATTAGTTTGCTTCATTTGTTTCTGTCTGACATAACTACAATGTCTACATTTATACTGATCGTCAGAAACGGTTAAATATTTTTTACTTTTTATACGAAATATCTCGAAATAAAAACGACTCGATCGAATAATGAACGTTATCGAAGATAACTCGGTGCCCGGTGACGAAAATTGTGTCAAAAATGACACTAGCCCGGCCGAAAATCACCGTGAAGTAACCCAAAATCACAGCGTTGCCGCGTCTACCGATTCGGAAGTGACGAGGGAGACAAGCAAAAACGTGAGACATGAAGAATTGTTGAAAAATAATGCAACGCCACAAACCTTTAACAATAATGGAAAAGGGTCAGTGGATGATATGGCGGTGCCTGTTAAAGTGGAACGGAAAAAGAAGAAGGATTTGAGGAGATGTCATACTACTTTGTCCGGTATGGAAACCAGAAGTAGAGGGTATGTAATATTCTTTATATATTCTTCATATCCAAGGCTTGTTTCACTACATTTCTGCATTTTTTCATTTCTCGTATCCTTATTTTCCAGTTTCTTATTTTCAATGTCTTTAAATCTTCTTCTACTAACTTGTTGTTTCCAACTTGCTCTTGATTTACTCCTTCCTCTATTGTTTAACAAATTTTTGTCCAATAGCTTCTTGACCATCATTTCTTCACCTGTATTATTCTTTATTAGAAGTAAATTATAATTTTTTCTAGAATAATAAAAGAGGTCAGGATGAACATCCTTGTTTTAACACTCAAATTTCTTTGTAGGGTGTCTTGCAAGCTATTATTGCATTTAACGGACCCTTCCTTAAGTCTCCTTATTTTCAAATTACCCATAATCCATACTTTCTTATTTAATTTAATTTTCTAATATTATTACCTGTAAAAATTAACGACTTCATACCAGAAACACCCTATATCATTCGAGCACATAATTACAGCATTTATTTTCTCTTTTATGTCAAACAAACCTATTAAATTATACCCACATTATACCTCTATCACAATTACAGAAATGAAGGCTTGCGTCGGCACGTTTGATGTCGGGGTGGCCAAAATTTAAAGTGACACTCGCTGACAGTTGACGTTCTTGCCGGTTGTTACACTGGTAAAAATTACCAAGATTCTTATAAATTCGGATAATACACTGAGAAAAGGATTTAAATATATATAAAAAACTTATTTAGCAACATCCACTACTTCTTCTCTGAATTGAAGGTTAGTGCATAGAAGGTTAGTGATATAATTAGAAAAAATAAGGCTTCACAATAATTTATTTTGAAGTAAATTGTACTGATCGCTATATTAAAAAAGAGTTTTTACTTGAGGAACCAGACCGAATGCTCGTTGTACTTAATTCATCAGTTTTTTTTAGATAACATTAACTCTTTAACAGAGGGATTCTATTACAAATTATTGATGTATTAATTAACTGTGTACTTTCCTGGAAAACACCTTCAACTATGATAGTTGGATCTAGAAAAATAGATAAAACTGATAATAACTGGCATTAAAAATGCAAATACTTCCGAACTGTCTTTTGAAAGCCTTTTATGTGTTTTAGAACCTTATCATATGTTAATAATACCATAAACAATCCTTGTATTAAGACTTTCGCCATACTCTCTTATAATAATTTGACAACTCGGTGGATAAATCTGTGATTTTTTACAATTCCATTTTTGTAAACAAAATTAATCTAGTAGTCGTTGGTAGAAAAGCATCACCAATAATTGGCGTATCGATTTATTACACTGTTTTACACTAGCACTAGCTCAAATGGCTTTTCTTTCAAGTCTTTTGTGCAGAGTTGTCCAGTAATTGCAGCACTTCATTAACGTGGGAGTGGAGTCGACCCTCATGTTTTCCAGTAACTTCTTTTTCTTATTTGTCTGTATGAAGATAATCGTTTAGATAGAGCCAGGGTGCATCAATGATACATCTTAGGACTTTATTTTGGAAAACTTATGGCACATCCTCGTAGCTGTATTTCATAAATCCAGACGACTTAGGATTTGTTTATAAATCATATGAATTTGTTGTATACATAAATTTGCATTTTTAGATGCATAATTATTAGAACTATGAATTAAATTGAGATTTGAGGAAAAGTACTGTAGAAAAAAGGTTGTTATAAATAAAACACGTACCCATACTGACTATTAATTTTAATAAACCAAAATACGAAAAACACATTATAAAAATCAGATTAATAAAAATATCAATATGAAAAATACCTACACATCAAAAGGCACAAAATTTTAGACAAAGGAATATGCCTTAGGTCCTAAAAAATACAAGGTAAGCGCAAACTGCTTGTATTCATTGGAATGTCTTCTAGCTAGAGGCTTTTTGTTTTTAAATTCCGCTTGAGATTTAACTAATCTGCAAATGGTTGGTTTAAAAATTGTGGCCCAACCGAAGGATATTTTTGGAACTGGCACATGCATTATCAAAATAGAAACAACAATATCTCTTCAATCTTCAAAGTTAGTCATTCTTTTGCTGGGACCTAAAAAAAAATATTTAAATTAAAAAAATACATAAAAACAACACTTTTATATTATTTTTAATACCTGGTGTACTGAGAAAATCGTCGTGGGATTTAGTAGGGTACAGATTCATTCAGAATGATCAATTATTTCATTTGTTGTGGGTGTGTATCAGAATATTGTCAAAAGTACATTTTTAAATAAACATTTCCGAGTTGATCCAAATGAAAAACTACTGGACTGGAAATGTTTTTTACACAACTGGTAGCTTTTGTGTAATTATTCACTGGTTATATTAATCAAGTCTTCTCGACTACAGGCTCTTAACAACATGGGAAACCTAAAAAAATTCAAAAACATTGTCATAGGTACATAAATATAATTTGATTTAAAAATGATAATAAAATAATTGTTTTGATTAAATAGCCAAATAAATAACATACAGTTAACATTGCTGCATTTGAAAAGTACCTCATTTTACTCGAAGCCGTTCTCGATGGGATCTACTCCATGGTCATTTAAATTGCATAATTTATTTTGCATACCTTTCTGAAACTTTGGGAAATGAAAAATAAGTAGTATTCGAATCCGTTCGAGGTAGACATGGGCGATAAAGACATCTCTTTCTTTTAGATTCCATCAGTTCACTAAAAAATTATTTTGCTTTAATAAAATAAATAAAAATATGTAAATAGCTCAGCACATACCACAAAAAGTCTTCGATTAAAAACATGTTTACTGAACAATGTTCATAAAATAGACAAAGGAAAGCACTAAACACAGATTTACTCAATAATTGTTAAAAAATATACAAAGGAAAACACTAAAATACACTTAAATTCGATAAAAAAAATCATAAATTATAAATGACTGATCCTGACACATCAAAACAACACTCGTGACATGACAGTTTTGCCGGTTATAAAATGGCGGCCCTGATCATGCGCAAAAAATTTTGGACCCCAAAAATTGACGTGCCTTCGCTTCTGTAAAAGTAATCTGTGCCTCTATGAAATATTATATACTCGAATCCTATCTTTAAGTTAAAGCTACCATTAACAATCAACGAAAAAAACACACCTCAATCAAACCCGTCACACCTGCCATTTACCCGTCATTCAAAATTAACGTCAGATAAATGCCTAATCTAACCCCCTTTCATCCAAAGCAATTTCTTCCAGCAAAATGTTTAGTTGGTTAAACAGAGTACACGAGACCAGGGCCCAATGCTTCGAGAACGTTGTCGACGGGCTGAAAAGCATCTACAAGAACAAGATGTTGCCGCTGGAGCAGCACTATCTCTTCCACGAGTTCCATTCGCCGCCATTGAACGACGCCGATTTCGACGCCAAGCCAATGATACTGTTGGTCGGTCAGTACAGTACCGGGAAGACTACTTTTATCAGGTACTTGTTGGAGAGGGACTTCCCTGGGATGAGGATAGGACCGGAACCTACTACTGACAGGTATTTTTTCTCTGTTGCAAATTTACAATCTTATCTATATAACACAAAAGTAATGAGTGAATGTGAAGACTGAATGTAAGTTTGAGGCGGGATTCGCAATATCAAGTCAAATATTCTGGCCATAAACATTGCAGTCTTCTTTCTAGCAACAGGTCCTGGTTAAGTTCGTTAATCAGTTTATTTTGGTGAACTATGGTTCGTCGGTTGCAGTTGATACCGTGTGATTTTATAACATCGTCAATAAATGGTATGTTAAAGGTCTTTCTGTATGGTGTATTTGGATATATACACTCACCGACTTAAAATTCGATTCATTCAAAATAATGATTTATTTAAAATGCTCTAACTTTCAAATGCAAAGGCTGATTTATTTGAAGTTTTTAGCAACTTTTAGATAAAATACTGTAGTTTTAAGATTATTATTCGGATATTTAAAAGTAATTTAGCACTCGCCGGATATACAGGGGGGAAAAGAAAACAATTTTTTCCTCTACTTTTGACACACCCTGTAGGTTAATTCTGCTAGTAAATCTGCACACAATTAACTTTATCAAGAAGACTGATTTGTTTACAACATTTTGTTTTTTTATTTACCCCGATATCTTAATTTGTTTGTAAAATGTGATGGTTTAAAGAAAATGCAACATTCTTAATTTTGTTTTTGAGTTTTAGCAGAGATACATAATTTTATAAACAAATCAAACGAGAATAACTGCCTCAATGCGTCGTGGTATACCCTCTAATAAATGGCTAATCTCCATCTGGTCAATCTGATCCCATTCTTGGACCAAATCATCTCTCAAAAAATTTAAATTACTTGGAAGAGAAACTCGGTTATGAACTCGTCTGCCCATAATCTCCCAGACGTGCTCAATTGGATTGAGGTCTGGGCTACGTGTTCACCAGTTCATCTTTTGAATTTTTGTTTCGTCCAAATATTGAGATACAATCCTCGCAATATGTGGTCGAGCGTTGTCATGCATAAACATGAATTCGTTTCCTATAAACGGTGCAAATGGAATTACATGTGGATCTAGCACATCACGAATATATCGGTTAGCTGTCATTGCTTCGCCGCCAACAATGACTAAATCAATACGAGCTTCCATGCTTATGCGGCCCCAAACCATTACCTATCCTCCTCCATAACTGAGTCTTGTAGAAAAATTTGCTTGGTCAAACCTTTTGTCTCATCTTCGTCTCATGGACATTCCAATGTTGATGCTCCCTGGCAAATCGAAGACGTGCTATTCTGTGATTCCTAAGTAACTCCGGACCAGTTGCAGGTCTTCTGGAGCGTAATCCATGTTCTCGTAATCGCCTTCGAATCGTTATTTCGTTAAGAGCTACTTGACGTACTTCTTCTAAACGATTTCGAGCCATGACAGCAGTAGTATTTCTTTCTCGCAAAACATTTAATGTAACAAAACGATCATCTCGAACATTTGTAGAACGTCGTCTGCCGGATCCTCTTTGTCTCGAAAAACTACCAGTTTCATTGAAACGTTGTACAGCTCTCTGGATGCTACACCTTATGACACCCAATATTCTAGAAGCATCTACTGAGACCTACCGTCTTGTACCAGAGCAACTGCTCATGCTGCATCAGTAGGCGTTAAAACCATGATGTTATGCTGATAATGAATATTTGTTATGCTGATAATTAAACTGCAATTACCAAGTAACGAATATTTGACAGTTGTCATATTGTGAGTTAGCCACAGCACTCTACTTATTTTGTAGTTTATTCTCTACCGTCATTTAAATTATGACCGTTTCTAAAATGTAGCATTTTCTTTAAACCGTCACATTTCACAAACAAATTAAGATATCGGGGTAAATAAAAAAACAAAGTATTGGAAACAAATCAGTCTTCTTAATACAGTTAATTGTGTGCATATCTACGAGCAGAATTAACCTACAGGGTGTGTCAAAAGTAGAGGAAACAATTTTTTCTCTTTTCCCCTGTATATGCATGCGGCGAGTACTAAATTACTTTTAGATGTCCGAATAATAATCTTAAAACTTAAAAGTTAGAGCATTTTTAAATAAATCATTAGTTTGAATGGATCGAATTTTAAGTCGGTGAGTGTACCATGTAGCATTACTCATAGCACGAAGTATTTTGGATTAAACATTTTGTAGTATTTTGTGTTTGAAGATTTACTGCAGCCTTACAGTTCAATACCATGAGTACAATTTCATCTAACTATGTTCTTATAAATAAAGACAGCTGTAATTTTCTGCCTATTAACCAGTACATTTGTCTCAATTTTAGGTTCCTTTGCTGATTCTTGGTTTGATCTATATCTTCTAGCTGTATTCCCGGGTAGTTTACTTTTTCTTTTATTAGCATTGTTTATTGTAATTTGAAGACATGATTCATTTTGCGGTATTAACTTAGATCCTCCACTTCTTTTGTAAGTTTTGTAATAAGTTGAGATGATGTTGTAATTTTTAGGAGGCTCTGATAGGATTCACATCTAAGGTCGTAGTTCCTGTAAAATCTGTGGTGGGTAAGCCTGCAGTTTACATCAAATATTGGTATGGGCCCATCGCGTGCCTTGTAGAACTCTTGATTTTACAGGATAGGAAAGTGAAAGGATGTTTTCGTATTTGACTTGAAAATATCTTTTTTCTAAGCATTTTTAAAGAAGGTATTGTTATCATTAAGTTAGGAAGTTTTTTTTCAGTTTATACCATACACCAGTACTTCACACTTCCTCCAATGTTTGTTCTTTGTTCTCTAGGTACCCTTTAATTTTGTTAGCCAGTATATGTCTCTGCTATATTGTTAAACTTATTCAATGTTTGAGTTCAGTAACTGTAAGCAATAAGTTGGTTGACTTGGTGCCAAACTAAAGCCTAAGAATTTCGTTGAACACACCTCCTAAAATGTCACGTTTCTCGCATGAAATGGTCGACCAATAAATATTTCTTTCTGGTCTGATGGACCAGGAAAATTGCAAAAGAAAAACAATGGCGTGGTTTCATAAAATTTATGATATTTATGCATCTTTGAACACCTACTATTTGAAAAGAATATTTCCTACTCTAATTTGTTTTCTATTATAATAACTGACAGTACGTGTAGTTCGTGTAGCGTTAAAATATATGAAAATTAAATTGGTATTTGGAATTTTACATTTGTCATATTATAAGTATTCAATTATTTTAAGTTTACAATAAATTTAGTGTCCTGAATAGGTTTATTATAATTTTTTTCCATAGACCTAAAAATTAACCTAAATTCATGAGATAGTGACATGGAAAATACACTACCAGATGTCACTGAAAATGAATGCTAGAGAAAGCTTATTATTACTGTACCATTATAATTTAAAATTTATTAAAATATACAGAATTGTTCCAATGAATTACCAATTTAAATTAGTTAAAATTAAAACTTATGTATAGTATAAATTCCTTTATAAAATCGTTACATATGATCTGTCTATGTGTTGTTAGGTTGTTCGAATATTATTAATATACATTTTACAATCTTTCAAAAGGGTGATCGTAGAAAAAATATAGTGTACCAAATATGGGCAAAGCATTTTGCTGCAATTATGGGAAAAGTATCACTTTTTGCACTTGTTGCTGTCGAGACTCAACAATTGCAAAAAAGTTTCTAAAAATTATAAAACAATATAATATACCCTGTATACATGAAAAATATTCAAAAACTTAGTTTGATTGGATATATTTAAACGAAATTATTAGTTTTTATGGAGATGTACAGGACTAAAACAGAGGTTTGCCTAACCATATACATAATTTTTTCTAATTCTAGATTCATAGCTGTGATGTACTCAGAAAACGAAGGCGTCATCCCTGGAAATGCTCTTGTCGTAGATCCAAAAAAGCAATTTCGACCTTTGTCTTGTTTCGGTAATGCTTTTCTCAATCGGTTCCAGTGCTCTCTAGTCAAATCTACGGTTTTGAAAGGAATGTCAATTATTGATACACCCGGTATACTTTCAGGTAAGAGCACGCTATTTTATTAACAACATTTTCTCTCTATTACGGTGCACAGCAAGGATCGTTCCGGGGGCCTTTACTATATTGAATTTATACATCAAACGTTTACAAAAATCTTTAAAAACAAATTAATATTAATTTTTCTATGATGATACTTAGTCGGCACTAACATCTCCATTTTTAGCTTAGTCAGATCAAAATTTAGAAAATGGATCTTTAGTTTGGAATCCCATTTACTTTCAGTAAATATGTTCCATTGATGATGGTAAAAAAATTGAAGGGTATGCTTACAATAATCTATTAAATCAATTTGATATTGTTAGCTTAGAAAAACGTAGAAATCATGGCTCTGTTTTGTACTTACATCAGCTTTTAAATTATGAAGTTGACAGTTCCGAATTATTATCTTATTTTAATATCCCTAGGCTAACTTAGAGATTGGAAGTGTAGATTAAAAACAGCGAGGGGCTTATAACCGATCCTTGCGGTGCCTTTCCGTAAAAAATCGATTTTATTTACGGATAACACGAAGATTGGAGTTATATAGGTCGTTTCTATACGAAATAACAAGCAAACTTTTCGAAATTCACCCCGAATAACCCCATTTTCGATAACTACCCCAATTTTCCACACATCCTTTCGCCATGAAAGACCTCAGTAACAGGTTATCATTTTTTCCGGCGTCAGTTCAACCCTAAGTATTAGCTCTTCAGTGCAGTAAGGGTCGGGAACCGTTGAAAGGGCCATTTATGAAAAGGAAAAGGCGAGAATTGTACAGGGTGGCTCAATTTGCATACCAATTCGGATTTAATCGAGATATGTCTTTAAATTTTGATAAAACATACTGTATGCAATTGAAATAAATAAATTCATTGTCCAGGTATTTCTTTTAATCGTGACATAATCTGTGTGAACATCAGACGTCAGCGTTGAGTTTTTAAATAGGAATGTGGTTCACGCGATACATCATTTGAAAGGTCTTTGATAAAACTACAACAGGCCAAACTAAAGCTTACTAAAACGCAAGGAATTTAAATTCTGATAATGATTGTTTGTGGAGATAAAACAAGGATGTAAAGGTTTGGTTTTAATTCAACAATAAATATCTTAACCAAGTATAAATTTCCCAATTAAGAGTAAACAAGATTGAAAATAAATTCAGGGTCATGTGAGAGACTCATATGAAGGTAGAAAAAAACAAGAAACTAGAGTTTTACTCATTTGTAGACATTTTTTATAGCAGTCAGTTCACGGCATTAGCATTAGATTGTAGCATCAACAGTCTAGTTCCTAGAACCCAAAAGCTGGGAAAGTGGCATTCCTTTATGGTTACTTTAGTACAGGAGCTTCTGGAAGACGATTTTGACACATAAATAAAATTTATGTACCTTATGATAGACCAAAAATAGCAGATCCAATGTTTTAAAAAAAGTGCCAAGAGATACTCTAAAAAATGTATTGTTCGCTCTTGATCCACCCTGTAGCAGCTACCTTCAGAAGACGAGCACCGAAAGTAGGTTTCTTTCAAAAGTCGGAAATCCAGATTTATATTCCCGATGCATGATGAAAATTGGGGCATATTTCCGGCATTGTAGGGTAGGTAGGTTGGGTAAACTATAATTTGAAGACGAACCCCTATTTTCCCTATATATAGATGGAAATCACAGTATTTGATTATTACAGTTACACGCACCAAGGAAAAGGTGACAGAAAATATAGTACATATCAAAAATATTTGAATAATTCCAGCAGATAATTAATTCTTGATTGCTGGGCTTGAAGCAGATTAATCAGGTTCATAACAATCACAGTAAGATTTTTACCTTTATCTTCTCTAAAATTATGGAAAAGTTTGGTCTAAACCTGTTAAACGACATTGTCTACATGTTTTATCATGTATGGTTTTGTGTGCAGCTTGGATTTGTGCCTTTAAATGTACAATATATAGCCAAATGGAATAAATTCGGTAATAAATAAATGGGAGCGTGTTCGGAAAAACGCTCAGATTGGTATTTTTAGTTGCGCATTTTTTAACAAAAACTTTTTATAAAGGGAGTGCCATGTAACAGTAGCAAATACCAACTTTCTTATTTTAAACGCAACACCCTGTATATTTTTCAATTTTTGGATTCTTCAGAAAATTCTCGACATAGTTTATGTACTATGTCCTATACCTAACTTACCACAGGCAAATCTGCAGGTGGATTCAATATGTTTTATACGATTATTTAAAATCATTTAATGGGGTTGATCCAGGCCCGTAGCCAGAACTAATTTTAATGTAGGGCATCCGAAATTTGAAATAGGGCCCACCGATATGGGCGAGTCGAGGGCTAGGGTAGTCAGAGACGTAGGTGAAGAGTGCGTCGAAAATTATTTTCAAAATAAGCTTGTATGCTGCGTTAAAACATTTTTTAAATAAATTCTTTCAAGCATTTTTCTCTGCTTTCCAAAAATAGTGACATATTTTCAAAAATTAAAATTTTTACATTAATCCTACCGCAAAAGATTAATATTTTACTAGGTCAAATACCATTATCTCAAAAACCTGCCGATAAATGGCGCTAATGTCACTATTATGAATAACCTTTTTAACGTCTTTTTATCGAGAAACACGATTCCTGTTACGTACAAGTTTTTTTGAAGAAAATAGTTACATATGTTTTAAAAAGTCAATATTTCGAGTAATGTAAGTGATAGAATATAATTTTGAATTAACTAAGATACATCTGAGTTATATTTGAAAATGGGGGCATCTACATTTTCAAATTTTTGTAAGTTTTATAAACACTATACATTTTAAAATTATTATACCAGTGATGAAATTGTGCACATCAAAAATATATTTGAATTTTTTATAAGTGCGTTTAGTTCTGATTATTTTCAATTGTACTTTTGTATTTTAAGATACAATTTTCAAAATATTTGGTATTCATTGTGCCAAAAAACTTTAAATCGCTGTACTAAAAAATCTTCTTTTAAGGTAGGGCATTGGTGTTTTAAGGTAGGGAATTCCCCTATGTGCCCTCCTCTAGCTATGGCCCTGGAATTAACCTACCTATTACAGTGAATGGGAGGGTTTAATTTAATAAAATTCATAATCACCATTCCAAAATGATTTCGTTAATATCTGGTGTACCACCAGAAACCCATTTAGATCCACTACTTATTCTGTTTAGTTAAGATATAACTAATTATTTAGAAGAATTTAAAATGCTATTCTTTGCTGATAATCGACAGATCTGTATAAAACTCGGAAATATTGAGGATTGCACACTGGACAGTTAGAAATGGAATGTTACTTAATATTGTGCTGTGATTGGTGCTTTGAATGCCTTTCACAGTCTGCCAGCTACCCGATTGTTTAGGGAGTATTGTAGTAATATTATAATCATGTTTAACTATAGTATAAAAGATTCTACACAAGTGAGATTAAATAGCATATATGATCTGAACATCCAAATCTATTTCTTAATTAAGATTTATTACAAGAAACTTGTCCAATTCCTCTGTTTCAACAATAGAACTGCTGTATAATTCCATGTTAAGTTATTTTTGAATACTTGCTGGGTCTTCCATGCCTGTCTATCTATATACATGGCATCCAAGCACTTATCTTGCATACGTTAGGTCTTCAAAGTACAATTATCTTTGTCTATCTTCCTCATTTTGGTCTTGTTATAATATGGTTCTTTTTGTTATTTGTTTTTATTTTATTGTGATTTTTAATGGTCCCTAATCTGACTGCAAAAGACATGTAGCGTTTTTTGCTTGCTATTTTTAGTTGGGTACAGAGGAGGTTGTTAAACAGCATGTTCTATGACCCGGTGGCATATTGTCATTGTTTACTATGCTGCAACGCATACATATATTGTTGCAAAGCGGTAAAGAATGACTGAACAGTCGCCTCTCTATACCCAGACAAATCTTACTGCGACTCAGCATTGGCAGGTGTTTAGACGTAGTAATTATTGTATCATGGATACGCTGCCATTCTCGAGGCATTGTTTACCGCGTTCCAACTCAACATCGAGGCATCCAAGAAGGAGATAAGAAACAACCCTAAAAGACAAAGATCTTTAAAGAAAAATATTGATTTAATAGACCAAATGCGAAATCACATGTAAATGCCTACTAGGATTAAACTTCGTATGCTTACCATTTTATAATGTTTTTTTTTTTTAAATAAATATAAATGTATGACGATTGTATATTATTATTATGATATTTTTTTTGATATAGTCCTACAAAATCACAAAAAAAGCAAATTTGCGTGATTTCGATTGCAACGCGGTAAACAATGCCTCGATAATGGCAGGCGTATCAATAATACAATAGTTACTACGTCTGAACACCTGCTAGTGCTAAGAAGTTGCAGCAAGATTTGTCTATTTTTAAAATCCAGTTGACTACTGGCTCCACAAGAGTTTTGGTACTTTCTATACGCATCCAGAAAATTTCGTCATCCAAAAGCGTTTGTTTTTTATCACGGCCCAATATATTACCAGCCTCTCCATTCACAGCCAAAGTTTGCAATTTTTCTTTACTAACAGACATCGATTGTAAGCAAAACAAGTGGGAACCCCAACGGGTAATAACTGGTAAATCCAAATTCTTGGTGCAGTTTTTTGCTTTTCTTCCATCAAATACTATTTAACACTTGGGAGTGTTTTATACATTTAATTATATCTTTGACTTTATTTATGAAGGAAATCATCGCTGGAAATTTTAATAAGTCCATAATAATAAGGTGCAATGTATGTGCCAAACAGCCAATGTTTGAAATATGTGGAAACATCTCGCTAATAGAAGCTGTAGCCTTTTTCATATTAGCTGCATTATCAGTTCTTTTGTCTCTAAACTTTTGATGAAAAACGTTTTTTGCTCTGCTGTTGTTACAACAAAATTAATGATGCATATCTTATATTCGACCATCCATCTAACTGCAAAGCTAAATGGCCAGATTCTGCAATAACCATTTCTACATCACTCTTGACTTCTTCATAATGAGAATCCAATAATGCAGTTGACAATGTTTTTCTTGTTGGAAGAGCAAGAACGTAAAAGGTTGGTAAGAAATGTAAAAAAATCTGTCCAAAATTGATGCTCTACCATGAAGAGAGGGCTTCCTGATGCAAATATTGCTTTTGCTTTTGCCTTAGTTAAAAATATTTTTTTCAGACGCCAATACATTAGTCCCATTCCATTCCATACTATAAAGCATAAAGTAAAAAATCTTAATAATACTTATTTTCAGTGCCATAATTATTAATATAAAGACCCCCTTGACTACTTGTCTTAATGTTGATTTTTAAAAATGAAGATATACCATACAACACAAAACAACTACAACCAAACAATTATTTTATTAAAATAACTTAACTTTTCAGAAGCACTTATATGATCAAAACATGTTGAAATGTCTTTTGAGTTTGACCGACTTGATTTAGATGATGTAGTGGATGTTGCAACGGTGGGTGTGGTTGTACATGTAATATCAAAACATCTAATGTTGCAGTAGGGGTTGATCTAATCGGACTGACATGGACAACAGTAGCAGTTTTGGCACTATCAGATTTATTAAGTCCCTTCTTTAAACCGCTCTTAATTTCACCCGGGCATTTACTACATTTATTTAAAATATGTGCTTAGTCATTTTTGTTATATTTTTCACTGTAACGAAGTACTTAAAGTTGTCCATAACTCTTTTTAACGATTTCTTTCGGTTGCTCATTTTAGTTTAGAACAATAATTCACAACTAACACCTACAATTTTTATAATACCAACTGAGCTGAGTCAGCAGTCAGCCAGACGCGACTACAAGTCCTGACATGTCTAAAAGTATAAACAAAGAGTAACAATCAACAATGTTGTCAGATTTAACAAACTGCATCTAATATTACGAAATTGTATGAATTCTGCTATTTCTAGAAAAATTCCCGTTTTTTCCCGGGAATTGGAAATTCTCGTGAATTTTCCCGTTCCCACTGCAAATTCCCCGGGGAAATTTCCCGGCTACCCATCAATAGACGCCATCATATACTATTTTTATTTAGAAAATATAATTAGCTACGCCTTTACGGGAATTTTAATTATTGTGATTAATTCCCCTCACATTTCTTGGTATTGACACATTCCAGACATTCCTCACCCCTCTAAAGAAATCACTACCGCCCTCTCTGCGAGCATGACCAAGATTGGTAAAGGGGGCACAACGCAGCAAGGTAAGATTATATTATTTTATATCGTCTGCAGGGGTGGTTCGTGATATATGAAGGGCATCGGGTTGATATATAGGTCGAAATCATTTTGAAATATGGGTCGTGGCGTAATAACACCGAGAAAAATGCGTTGTGTTAGTGGCAAATTTTTTTACGTATATTTTTGTATTTTGTAGACGGGGCCATACGTTTGGGTGATGAGGGTTTTTGATGAATAAACCTGAATTATTTTTTTGAAATATTTGTATGTAGGTTTTTATCAATTAGTCATAAAATAAATTAGGTCGCGTGTGATGAATTAAGGTAATTATAAAAACCTACACTGCGAAAAATCTTTATTATTATTACTTATTTTGTATTGTTTTTAGAATGTTTTGGCTTTAAATGTGGCTTTTGTTCAATATCAAAATATGTTTTTTTATTGAGTAGCTATTGAAAACCACATGTAGCCATTTTTCCAAAAATATAGTAAAAACAGAAAACTCTTTAATATTAATTTAAACTTTTCTTCTATAGTTTGTGATACTCTTTCTTGTAGCCATATTCCACAACTATTTTTTGTTACTATTTTAGGCACTTACAAACATTTACTATTCCTGATGACATCCAAAATTTTGTGATCCATTCTCATTTCTATAAAATCTGCTGTTCCGAACTTCCCTCCATTGTCCCGTCACTAACCGCGTTTTCATCAGACTTTGTAATTGTAGAAATAACTCAGGAGTAAGTTTAGAGACTTTGACAAAATATATATTAAATTGTTTTAATTTTTACAATCAATCTCAATAAGTGACAAAATAATAAAATCAATCAAACAAAATAAATATACATGGTGAATAATGGATAATTATACTGGGCAGTTTCAACACTCTCCCTCAGTGTGTATTCTCCATTATTTTTGTACACAAATAATTTAAGGAATATCTTGATAAATGCTTTGTTAACATCCGAAATATTTTCTTTCGATTGAATATATTCGATGTTTACATCTTTGGACATAACGCGCTTCCTAATATAATGATATTGAATATCCATATGCTTGCTTTGTTGATGAAGAGCTGGATTTATAGAAATATGTATTGCGACCTGGTTATCACACAGCAATAGTATCTTGATTTGTGCAAAAAGATCTTCTATAATATATTGCATCTAAATAGCTACAAGCTATGCTGAGAGCCATATATTCAGACTCGGTTGTGCTTACTGCCACAGATTGCTGTTTCTTTGTAGTCCAAGATACAGAAGCCAGTCCATAAAATCCCATATATCCACTATAGGAACGTCTATCATCAATGCAACTTTGCATATGAAGCGTCATTAAACATGGATATTGATGGTGAAGTTGTGTATTTATATACAAGTCTTCGATTTACTGATCCTCTGAGATAACGTAGGAGATGTTGAATCATATTATCATGAGTAACAGTGTGATCAACACAGAATTGTGATAAAACATTAACTACAAACTTTATATCTGGTCTTGTACCGGTAGCGAGATAAAGAAGACTTCCAATTTTTGATTGTTAGCATTTTTTATCGGTTCTTGGATCACCTTCTTTCGCTTTTTGTGGCTTGGAACCTGGATCCATTGGTGTAGATGTAGGACCTGAGCCATTCTGCGGTATCAGCAGTAACATAGGAGAGATTAAAAAAGAATTGGGTAGTAGAAGAACCGATAATTGGAACAATTTCTTGGGGCTGATACAGGCCAAGATACTTCTGGGTGAATATAACCAAAAAAGATCGGAAGCCTGCATCTGCCTGAGCAAGAACAGGCTACGTATTGTAACAGGGATCCTTACCGGGCATTGCCGACTAAAAGGACACCTAAGTAAACTGAGAGTAGTAGAGGATAGTGAGTGCAGATTCTGTGAGGAGGAGGACGAAACCTCCATTCACATGCTAACTGAATGTGTAGCACTCCAGAATCCAAGGGCACTATATCTAGGAGGATATCAAATAGAAGAGGGAGACTTACCTAACTTGAAGCCACTTCAAATCCTACACTTCCTTGAGAAAATAGGATTGGAAGGGTCGCTATAGGCATTGAGACATTTCCTTAGTGCAGTGGCGACAGAAGGGGGCACAATAGATCTTTTAGGTCGCAGTGTATTAACACCCCATTCTCAACATAACATAATATGTAGGTTTGCAGTTAGATATACTATACTTCTCTTTAAGAATATACTGTTTTTGATCTATACATACAGGAGTTGGGCTTCAGTCAATTTGTAACGATTCGAAATTCAAAATTATTTTGTAGAGTTTTCAATTTTTCGTGTTTTTTCTTCGGTTCTTCCTAATAATAATATATCGTCTACATATATTGTTAGAGCCTGTTGATAATCTGATGATACACATAAACATGGATCTGCAATTGATTGATGTAGATTAATTCCTTTAAGCACTGATACTAGTTTATGATTCCATTGACGTGGAGCCTGCTTTAATCCACAAAGACTTCTTTTTAGAAGACAGACTGGTCCTTCACTTAAACCCTCTGGTATTTTCATATAGATTTTAAAGTCTATGTCACCGTTAAGAAATGCAGTCTTTATATCTAGTTGTTTGACAACCATTTGTAAAGTAAAATTCGAATTGTCCCGTAGCGCACGACGAGAGCAAAATTATCTTCAAAATCAATACCTTGTATTTGACTATACCCTTGTGCTACTAGTCTTGCTTTGTATTTAGAGATTTTTCCATTATCTCCTAACTTTTTCTTAAAAACCCATCTATATCCGATGGTTATTTCTCTAGGAGACATTTCAACAATGTCCCAAACATTATTTTTCTTCATTGACTCAAGTTCGTCATTGATGGCAGCCATCCACAAATCTGATTCAGGTCCTTTAACAGCATCTATATATGCAAGTGGTTCATCTGAAGCTAAATTACAAAATTCTTCTGTATAGCGAATAGGAGGTTTACTTTCTCTTGCGCTCGTCTAAAGGGTGCATAATTTGGTGTTAAATCTGGTTTTCATTGGAACTGGATGGAACAGAGTTTGATGTTCAATCTGGTTCCTCATAGGATGTTGATGGCAAATTAAATTTAGTTTCTTTACTTTCAGTTTGATCAATCTTTCCACTATTTTTATTAGGATTTGGTAAAGAGGTATTATTTACTTCCTTTCTTTGCAAAGGTGATATAAATATAACTCCTTCTTGACCTTCTTGAGGAACTAACTTAAAATCTTTTGACACGATAATATTTTTACCATTCCAAAAACGGTATCAGCCTTCTTACTTGTTAAATCCAATTAGAAATGATTTGTAGGCTCTAGGACACAGTTTGCTTCCTGGTTTTTAAATTGTAATATTAACATATGCCTTTTGCCCAAAGTATTGTAGATCCTAGAGCCTATCCTTGGTTTCATTCCAGAAAACATTTTTTTATTATATGCATGAGGAATTCTATTTTTCACATATACAGAGTAAGCTACTGACTCTGTCCATAGTGACAATGGCAAATCAGAATCAATTATATCAGTTCTAGATATTGTAGTTACAGTTCTATTTAGTCTCTCTGCCAATCCATTCGTTTCGAATTTTCAGTAATAGTCTCTTGACTGAATCAATTTTCTATGTTTCAGGTGAAAAACAAAGAATAGATCGTGGCTACGACTTCACAGGCGTTCTAGAATGGTTCGCAGAACGAGTAGATAGAATCATCCTTCTATTCGACGCTCACAAACTGGACATCTCCGATGAATTCCGCCGATCCATCGAAGCTCTTCGAGGCCACGACGATAAGATCCGGATAGTCCTCAACAAGGCCGATATGATCGACCACCAGCAGCTGATGAGAGTCTACGGCGCCCTCATGTGGTCGTTGGGGAAGGTGCTACAAACTCCGGAAGTCGTTAGGGTGTATATAGGTTCGTTTTGGGACGAACCTCTGAGGTACGACGTGAACAGAAGGTTATTCGATGATGAAACCCAAGATCTCTTCGGCGATCTACAAAGTTTACCAAAAAATTCTGCTTTAAGGAAATTGAACGATCTCATTAAGCGCGCTAGGCTAGCCAAAGTGCACGCCTTCATCATTTCCGAGATCAAAAAAGAAATGCCTGTATTTGGAAAAGACCACAAAAAAAAGGACGTCATCAGGAACCTGCAACTGGTCTACGAAAAAATCCAGAAAGAGCATCAAATATCCATCGGTGATTTTCCAGAAATCAACAAAATGCAGGAGCATCTATCCAAGCAGGACTTCAACAAGTTCCATTCTTTGAAACCGAAATTGTTAGAAGTTGTAGACGAGATGCTGTGCCACGACATTTCCCTTCTGATGGCGATGATCCCACACGACTGTTCCCCAAACAGTCTGAACGAAGTAAAAGGCGGTGCTTTTACTAACGTGGAAGATAAAATTACCCCGTTTGGCTACAGGAGTGGGGAAGGCTGCAATGCAGGCTTTGGTGAATCCGAATGGATTGTAAACAAAGAAAGAGCTACATACGACACACTCTTCGATTCTCTAGGACCCGTGCAAGGGCGGCTGTCCGGAGCCACTGTCAAAGAGGAGTTGGTAAAGAGCAAGCTACCCAACGCTGTCTTGGGGAAGATTTGGAAGCTTTCTGATGTGGATAGAGATGGGTATTTGGACAAAGACGAGTTCGCTTTAGCGATGCATCTGATCAGCGTCAAACTTAAGGGGAACGAGATACCTTTTCAGCTGCCCGACCATCTAATTCCACCGAAGAAGAAGGAGAAGCATACTTGTTGATAGCGTTCTAGAGCAAGTAAAATGTCCTGTGAAGTATGTATGTATCTAATTTGTTTTTTAGAATGCTGTGGCTCTGTATGAGGAGTAATAAGGTAGTGAGTCAATTTTTCATAATATATTAATCCTATTAGGGTGCTGTTTTATTTTAAGATGGATATTTTCCTCTAAAATTATAAATCTTAGGTATAATACAGTATAAAGATAATAAAATTAACATTATTTCCATAGTTATAATTGACTTTGCAACCTTATTACTACTTATACAAAGGTAGTGATTATAAATCTGTAAAATAGATGAAAATAACAATATATTTATAAATAAATATACTCCAAGCTGGCAAACTTGTATAATATGATTATTAAAAAAGTAATAGTCTAATTAAATAAATGTGTTTTATTTTTTTACTTTTGAAGTTAGAACAATCATCTACTATGTCTGGCCAATAGTACATCTACGGTTTAATTACACTGCACAACAGCATTTCTGATGATTGAGAGTTATATTACATGACAATTGCTTAATTTTTAATGAAGACTTGGGTGGTTGTAAAGAAAGTACAACTTGATGCTCATGTTACATCCAAGGGTTTGAAAGTGACTCATTAGTTGTTCAACGTGTTGAGAATAGTTAGAACTTTTATTTCCCAAAAAATTTTGAACAAGCCAAACAAACTCATTCCATGCGTTTTTCTCAATTTCTGTCATATTGTTCGTAAATTTTGTGTCTTTTATTAATGATCTTATCCCATCGAAAATGCTCGCTTTTATTTTTTCTACACTCAGTTTCGGGAATTTTTTTGATAGAAATAGAAAAAAATTTCCAGTTTTGTTAAGACCTTTGACAAACTGTTTTATAAGCCCTAATTTTATATGCAACGGAGGCAAAATTATACGATCTCTTGACACTAAAGGTGGGTTTACACGTTTTGTTGTCCTGGAACTAGATCTTTTCGAGTAGGTCAATTCTTTTTAACCCAATGTTGATTTTTTAGCTCTACTATCCCACAAGCAAAGAAAACAAGGATATTTTGTGTAACAACCTTTCTGGCCTAATAGAAAGTTGATAGTGTTAATATTCAACATTCTTGTTAGTTTCTAAGGGAGTACCGCAAGGCTCAGTACTAGGACCACGTATGTTTTCCTGTTAGAATGATTAAAAAGGAATAAAACAAATTAGTAGAAAGTTACCACATCCATAAAATTCTGCAGTTACAATAGACAGATGAATAATGAGGAAAAGGATGTTCCAAACATTTTGGGGAATTAGATACATTTTAAAAAAATCCCTCGATTTGTTGAGAAAATGACAATTTTTAGAAATTCGTGGACATTTCCAATGTTACATTTGAAAAACTTTAGAAAGTATTAGAAACGTTTTAATATTTTGGCATTTTTTTGTTTTAGAAAATATTTTGATAATTTAGGTATTTGGTATTGTTAGTATTCCTCACAAATTTCAAAAATTCTTGTCAAAAAGCAAACAATTATATTCAGACTTCTTCTGAATATCTTGAAAATCTCTATATATAATTGAGAATATTTGTAAACTTCTGGATACAAAAACTATTTCTGACAATAATGAGTAATATCTAGAAATTGTGCTATAATATCTAGTTGTAGTTTAAATTATAGTTATTATAATTTAATGTAATGACGTCCCTAAAAATCAAGACATTTTTCTGAATTTTGAAAACCGACAAATTGTTGGTCCCAGAAATAAAATTTCAAGCATGAATTTTTAATATATTATGAACAGATTTGAACACTTCATTTAATATATTTTTTACTATCACAAAATATTTTATTAAAAAATAAAATCTGATGTGGGTAAAACCGTTTTTTAAACTTTTCTAAAACAAATTTCTTTCCTGTTGACCCACTTTGCAATATAAAAACTTTCCCTAAAGTCACTTAATCATCTACAAAGAAGTTTTTATCTAAAAACCTGCACATCATAAATCACTTTCGTTACATCCTTAGGTCATTTTGTCCTTTTGACCTATATAAAGCACCTTTGAAGTTGAGATATCAATATAAATCTGTGACATAATTTTCTATATGGAGAGAAAATATAACTTTTATGTGCAAAAAATTAAGAATGATAATATATAAATTTAAAAATTTAGAAAATTATCTACAACCACATCAATTTAAATTCTTGTATAATAATCAATTGCGATATGTCATCATGGTGTGGAGTTGTAATTGACCAACTCATTTACAACCACTTGAAGTTCTACAAAAAGATTCCTAAAATGTTCAAAAGGCCCTACAGGTATTGTTCAAAAGGCCCTACAGGTATTCTTCAAACTCTGTGTTTGTTGAGGCAAATATTATGGATTTTATTTTTTTTTATTATAACATCAATATTAAATACCATTCAACTAAACAACTTTTTAACTTAACAGATCATCCATATATTAACGTTTCGATATCTTTTTGGTGTTTGGTGCTCCTCTTCATTTCACAGGTAAGTAAATAAAAAGCCCCAGTACCATTGTGATAATTTTATAATTAAATTGGTTTCAATACATTAGGTACCCAACTAAAGAAAAAAAAATATTAAAAGGCAAATTATATGATGTATAATTGCATACTCAAAAAGAGAAAATTTCCTATTGAAAATCCAATTTTTACAATTTTATTTGAAGTGAAATGTGTCAAATTTCCAAAGCCATCTCAATTTCAAATAAAAAAATCTGAGTATATAGGTAGGATGTTTCAAAGGTTTCATCTGAGAATCGGCTGTCATTTTTTATGACAAAATACAGGGTCATACGGATAGTATTGCTATTTCTTAAACAGTAACAGATAGAAAGTTGGTTAAATTAGATAAAAGTTGAGCAGTTTTGTGCTTATTAAAATGGTGCCAAGAAACCATTAATATTTACAGGGAGGTTAAAATATTACCGTACAGTACAGAGCCTTGCGGTACTCTCTTAGAAACTAACAATAATGTTGAATATTACACTGGCCAACAAAATTACACTTTTAAACTGATGAATGACTTATGTCACTGATTAATTTTAAGTCGCTGATTCTAAATATACCCCCACTTCTTTTTGACAGCTCTTGTTTACGATTTATAGCTTTCACTAAAAATTGGCTGTATTATAGTGTTTATTTGCAGTTTATTTAACAATAATTATTGATTTATTTATTGTTTCGGCCTTTACTTGATGAAAATCCATTTAATCTTGAAAGAGTAAAACCAAATTTGGTAGATTTTCACACTTTTATTTTAAAAATATAAAAATTTTTAAAAACAATAACATGACATATTATGTTTCGAAGTACAACTTCTTTTTCAAATGTGACTATTTTAAATTCGGAATCCAATATATATACGAAATAATTTAACAAAACAAAGTACTTAAGAAAAACATCAATAACATTACAAAATAAACTATTTAAAGTAAATAAGGGTACTTAGGTAATTATAATATCAATCAGATAACAATAAGATAGCACATTACCGGGATTATCTCACAGAAAACTAGGAAAGAGATTTAATAAGGGTGAATTATTAATATCTAATTGATCATTTAGTAAGTTATCTGAATTTTTAAATCTATTTATTTCAAGTGTTTCTAAATGGTTTAATTTAAGGCTCTTATTTTCTATATGTAAAATTTCAAAGTTGTCTGTAAAAGAATGATTTTCAGCTAAAATATGATTTGAGTAAGTAGAATTATTTTTGTTTTTTGTATAGCTATTATAATGTTCGGAATAGCGTTTTTGAAAATACGGCCTGTTTGACCAATATACAATTTTGGACAACTACCACAATAATACAAGTTTTTAGCATTTATATTATTTTCAATTTAAGTACAAATGTTCTTTGATAGTTTCTTAAAAATCAATGTAGTGTGTTACGTCTTGACATGTAATCCAATTTTTTAATAATATTTTAAATCTAAAATACGTCTTACTCTTTTTTATGTGTTCCGGAATATCAGAGATTATTCGAGGAGTTATGAAATCAGATGATCGTTGTCCTATTTTCTTTTGAGCTCTATTTGACAATAGTTGTTTGTTTTGTTTATATCTTGTGTCGTATTTATGGATAATTTTTTTAAAATAACTTTTGTTTTTATAGTGAAAGGTAGCTATTTTATATAAAAATAACTGTCTTAATTAATTGCCAGATTCTTGAAATATTTTGTCAGTAGGGTAAGTTCTTTTTCTGTTGTAAATAATTTTTAGAATTGTTTTTTGTAAGATTTCAATTTGTTTCAGGTGGCTATCGTATATTCTTCCCCAACCTGTTATTCTATATTGTATGAGTGATTCAACCAAGGCAGAGTAAATTGACAAATCTATGGTCAATGCAAGACTTAGAATTTCCTTTAATTCTAGTGTACTGATTAATAAGCGATATAAATCCTAGTTCATACATGTTATTTAAGTATTCATTAGAGTATTTATAGTTTGATTTTATATCTATATTTATATCGCCAACTAAAAAATAAACATATTCATTGGATTTAGTAAATTTTAGATATTCTTTAAGATTATTATTAAAATCAAACGGATCTGTTGATGGATATCTATATATTGAATTTATGATAAGTTTTTGTTTATTATATTTTAGTTCAATTCTTATTGTATTTATAGTACCTATTTTTTCAAATGTATATATTAAATTTTGCGCATAATTTTCCGTTTTACAAATTATTATACCATCATTTTGATTTTGTCTATTCTTTTCATTATAGTAGTTTTTGTAACCCTTTATATTAAATAAGTCGACATTTTCTATTTTCCAAGATTCTGAAAAAATTATATCTGGTAAAATATTAAGTTGTTTTATTAAAATGCACATTTCATCAAAATTTTTTGATATGCTACACACATTACTATGGAAAATATTAAAATGGTCGGAGATATTCTTTTCTAAGACATTGAAATCACTTACATGACCAATTACCTTTGTATCAATTTCTTCAGCTGCATACTCTTTTATGTATTGATCCATTTAATTAACTTTAATTAAAACAATACACATATATTTATTTTAATGTCCTAGATTCAAGCTATATGCATACATACACATATATTTATTTTATTGTCCTTTAGTAGACCTTAATCTTGTTTGTCTTTTATCCTTTTGTTCTTCTGGAAAATTCTTTATTATTCGATTCTTCTGTTTATTCTCTTCCAACACTTTTTCTTCAAGTTCTTCCCTTTCCGATATTTCGCCTTCAGTGTCTTCCTCTTCTTAAGTATGTTCCACTTCACCAAGTTGCTCTAAAGTATAGGTCTTTCCATCAATTTCCAATAAATTTCCTTTTATTTTTGCCTATTTTTTGTTTTCTTTTGCAATTTTCATGTTTCTTCAGTTTTTTTAGAATTTCCTGATCTTCGGTACACAGATCGTT